CCAAACATGATAATCTGTAACTATGTTATCGTCAAGGCTTGTCTCTTGTGACGTAATGTTACCATGATGAAAATTTCTTCTAGAACTTTATAAACAATTATAAGACTAAATCCATCAACTGAGATAAACTACTTATCCCACTACAACCGGCACTTATGACTTGTGACTCCCGCACTTATGACTTGTGACTCCCGCACTTATGACGTGTGACTCCCGCACTTATGACTTGTGACTCCCGCACTTATGACTTGTGACTGCCGCACTTATGACTTGTGACTCCCGCACTTATGACTTGTGACTGCCGCACTTATGACTTGTGACTCCCGCACTTATGACTTGTGACTGCCGCACTTATGACTTGTGACTGCCGCACTTATGACTTGTGACTCCCGCACTTATGACTTGTGACTCCCGCACTTATGACTTGTGACTGCCGCACTTATGACTTGTGACTCCCGCACTTATGACTTGTGACTGCCGCACTTATGACTTGTGACTCCCGCACTTATGACTTGTGACTCCCGCACTTATGACTTGTGACTGCCGCACTTATGACTTGTGACTCCCGCACTTATGACTTGTGACTGCCGCACTTATGACTTGTGACTGCCGCACTTATGACTTGTGACTCCCGCACTTATGACTTGTGACTCCCGCACTTATGACTTGTGACTGCCGCACTTATGACTTGTGACTCCCGCACTTATGACTTGTGACTGCCGCACTTATGACTTGTGACTGCCGCACTTATGACTTGTGACTCCCGCACTTATGACTTGTGACTCCCGCACTTATGACTTGTGACTGCCGCACTTATGACTTGTGACTGCCGCACTTATGACTTGTGACTCCCGCACTTATGACTTGTGACTCCCGCACTTATGACTTGTGACTGCCGCACTTATGACTTGTGACTGCCGCACTTATGACTTGTGACTCCCGCACTTATGACTTGTGACTCCCGCACTTATGACTTGTGACTGCCGCACTTATGACTTGTGACTGCCGCACTTATGACTTGTGACTCCCGCACTTATGACTTGTGACTCCCGCACTTATGACTTGTGACTGCCGCACTTATGACTTGTGACTGCCGCACTTATGACTTGTGACTCCCGCACTTATGACTTGTGACTCCCGCACTTATGACTTGTGACTGCCGCACTTATGACTTGTGACTGCCGCACTTATGACTTGTGACTCCCGCACTTATGACTTGTGACTGCCGCACTTATGACTTGTGACTCCCGCACTTATGACTTGTGACTCCCGCACTTATGACTTGTGACTGCCGCACTTATGACTTGTGACTCCCGCACGTATGACTTGTGACTGCCGCACTTATGACTTGTGACTGCCACACTTATGACTTGTGACTCCCGCACTTATGACTTGTGACTGCCGCACTTATGACTTGTGACTGCCGCACTTATGACTTGTGACTCCCGCACTTATTACTTGTGACTCCCGCACTTATGACTTGTGACTCCCGCACTTATGACTTGTGACTCCCGCACTTATGACTTGTGACTGCCGCACTTATGACTTGTTTTTTGCCGCACTTATGACTTGTGACTGCCGCATTTATGACTTGTGACTGCCACACTTATGACTTGTGACTCCCGCACTTATGACTTGTGACTCCCGCACTTATGACTTGTGACTCCCGCACTTATGACTTGTGACTCCCGCACTTATGACTTGTGACTGCCGCACTTATGACTTGTGACTGCCGCACTTATGACTTGTGACTCCCGCACTTATGACTTGTGACTCCCGCACTTATGACTTGTGACTGCCGCACTTATGACTTGTGACTGCCGCACTTATGACTTGTGACTGCCGCACTTATGACTTGTGATTCCCGCACTTATGACTTGTGACTCCCGCACAATGAGAACCACTCAATAAATTAACCCTACATACCACTCATTAGTAGCCGAATAGGTCCTCAAAATATACACTTTTTAAAAAGACGATTACGTTTTAGACCATTTCTTTTGTTAGCCATTCAAATAAATGATAACACCTTATAAGAAACGCAATATCAAGTCAACATACCCACAAAAGACCACTCATTTGCTTATTAAACCCTACAAGAAAAGTTTTCCAAAGAAGAGGAAAAAAAACCCTAATGACTAGTGAGAACTAAACCAACGATAGAGATTATGTCAATAAACTTATTAAACTATAAGAACGTTAAGAAAAAAAAATACACCCCCGTATGACTATTGACCCCTGATTGAGAACCGGTTGCTAGAAATACACACTAGAAGAATGCCAATTACCATCTTCTGTTGAGAACCACTAGATAAAAAAACTAGCCACTACAAGAACACTTATATAAAATTATCATGGTTCTACAAATGACTTACGCCTACTGACCCTTAAACTACACAATGAGAACCACTCTTCCTATTAATGACAAAATTTTTGAAAAAGTCATTTAAAACAACAAACTACGAGTGACTAGTGACCCCCACATATTGAGAACCACTTTATATAGATATTGATAACACAACAAGAATACTAATTAACCTATTATACCTATGATTAGTGACCCCTGACCCTAGATTGAGAACTGATCAATAATCACTATTTTAAAACATTTAATTAAACAATATAGAAGTACCTATTACCATCATACGTTGAGAGCGATTCGATGGAAATCCACACACAGAAGAAGCTTAGTTTTTTTTTTTTTTAAATATTAGAAAAATCCAATTAAAACTGCAAGAATTATGTCCAAAAAGAAGAAGAAACATTTCCCCCTTACCCCCTCTTAATGAAACCCACTCAATTGTTACTATTTAAAAAAAAAAAATAAAAAAAAAAAAAAAAAAAAAAGCGATTCGATGGAAATCCACACACAGAAGAAGCTTAGTTTTTTTTTTTTTTAAATATTAGAAAAATCCAATTAAAACTGCAAGAATTATGTCCAAAAAGAAGAAGAAACATGTCCCCCTTACCCCCTCTTAATGAAACCCACTCAATTGTGACTATTTAAAAAAAATAAATACAAAAAAAAATACAAAAAACCTAACACAAGTTTGAGAACCCTTCGATAGAAATACACATACAATAAGAATAATAATTTAAAATTAACTCATTGAAAGCCATTACAAATTTTGAGACCCTCTAAAAATAAATTTAAAAAAAACAACAAAACAATGACTTTAAATATATATAAGAAAACTATCGCACAACAAGACGATCTATTACAAAATTAATTCATTTTTTCATTATAATACCTGAAATTTCATATTTTCCACACCGTCTGTATGTATCCACAAAAATGTCCTGTCATGTCTGTGGCACCGTCTATTTATATCTAAATACATTTTATCTATAAAAACATTTAAAAGCACTTATAAATAAAATCAAAGTTATTAAAAATTCTTCTGTGACTTTCAATAATCCATTTATTGTCTGATACATTAAAACACATGCTATACGATGTGCGTATGACATTTACATTTGAACAAACGACAGAAAAAGTAGTTGTGTTATGTTTACATCAGAGCTCAAGACATGCTGAATTAAACAGCTCATAAAAACTAAGGTTTTCTTATAAATCCCTAATCAAATATAATAATCAGAGCTCAAGACATGCTGACTTAAACAGCTCATAAAAACTAAGGTTTTCTTATAAATCCTTAATCAAATATAATAATCAGAGCTCAAGACATGCTGAATACAACAGCTCATAAAAACTAAGGTTTTCTTATAAATCCTTAATCAAATATAATCTCGAGCAATAAAAAAGTTGACAAAACATGCATAGAAGTAAAGCACTTTATTATTTTAAGAATCTCATTTAGCGAAATCATCGCATGTTTTCAATTGTTAAATCAAATTTCCTTCATGTTCCCCTTGAAAAACAGAAGAAAAAAACATGACTTTTTTGCGCATTGGAGTTAAGGAGAGGAACTGAAAATTTGATAGAATGTGTTGTCATCGCAACAAGTGTATGTGTCAAGTTTCAGCTCTATTGTTCTGGCGGGAGGTGGGTCAATTTGCCATGCGCAGATTTCGCCAGACACTCAGCCAGAAAGAAAAACACGAACAAAAGCGAAGTTGATGTAAAGGAGTTTCAAACCAGGACGTCTCCTCCTCCACACATGAAGTAGACAGAGGAAGTTGATATAAAGGAGTTTCAAACCAGGACGTCTCCTCCTCCACCCATGACGTAGAAAGAGGAAGTTGATATAAAGCAGTTTCAAACCAGGACGTCTCCTCCTCCACACATGACGTGGAAAGAGGAAGTTGATATAAAGGAGTTTCAAACCAAGACGTCTCCTCCTCCACACATGACGTGGAAAGAGGAAGTTGATATAAAGGAGTTTCAAACCAGGACGTCTCCTCCTCCACACATGACGTGGAAAGAGGAAGTTGATATAAAGGAGTTTCAAACCAGGACGTCTCCTCCTCCACACATGACGTGGAAAGAGGAAGTTAATATTGCTGATCACTAGTTTGGAGTTAAAAAAATTGAAGTTAGAAGAAACTTGTAAAACTAGTTTTAAAGCTAGCAAGCAGTTGAAGGAACGAAATAAGAATTTTATCTTATCGAACTGGTGTTTTTAGTGACTTGGCCTGTAGCGTCATAAAACACGGGCGCCACTGATAATTGTCCTAGTGGCGTCATAAAACACGGACGTCTTCCACGATTCTCTTAACGATCCCATAAAACACGTGTGCGGCCGATGATTGTCCTCATGACGTCTTAAAACACGAGTGACGTCTATGATTGTCATAATGACGTCATAAAACACGGGCGACGTCCATGATTGTCCTAAAGACGTCATAAAGCACGGGCGACGTCCATGATTGTCCTCATGACGTCTTAGAACACGTGTGCCGCAAAAGGTTGTCCTCATGACGCCATAAAACATGGGTGCCGCCGATGGATTCCCAAATGATTGCTATCTCTTGATAACGCTGTGACATATTCCTGTATACTGACATGAGCAGGAAGTAAAATCAGAATACAGCGGCAGCTCTACCAACAAGCTGTAAACATGGGACGGCTGTGACATGGTGCATTACTAAAATAGATATACTCAGGGAAACTACCATTTAGAACATGTCATAACAGAGATGTTAAATAGTGAGAGTTGATGTCGACTAGCGATAGTCAGTGTTGACTAGCGGCCGTGTTGCTGAAAGTCTTCTTTCAGATAGATTCCAAAGGTAGTGGTCAGTGAGATACACAAGACTTGTTGTTGTTTGACTGTGCCTGTCTCTATACTTATATATGTGCCTTTGCCATTTATCAGATGAGGCAAATTAAGAAAAATTGTAGAGTTCAAATGGATATTCGACATACAAAATATTCCTGATTGACTCAATATCTAATATTTAAACTATAATAAGATATGATCAGTGATTCCTATTTTTGTTCTGAGTACAAACGAACTGGTAAATATGTGTCCAAAAACTTTGGTGTCAATGCTGCAGTGTAATTAGTAGGATGTGTGGAAATATACTGTGTTCAAACTTTGACGTCAATGATATTGTGTAATTCATAGAGTGTTTAAAAATAATACTATATGCACAAACTTTGACGACAGTACTACTGTGTAATTAGTAGAATTAGTGGAAAGTGTGCTATCACTATCACAGCGATCGCACCAGTTGTCTACCTTTACAGTCAATAAAATCACCTTCCCATGGATTACCTTTCCTTAAACATTAAACAAAGGACGTCATCTCTCCGTTTCCAAGAAACAAATGACGTCTTGTCAATTTTTTTTTAAACGATGACAAATCTATTGGGGCTGTTTTATTTTCAAGCAGTACAATAAAAACATACACAATCATAATTATGTGAATTATAATTTTAACATACATATATAACTGATTGCTTAATCACTCCGAATAGACTTCTTCGTGGATTAATGGATCTGGACCGAACTTGGTGCATAAACCCTACTTTATGCAAATTGAGCTTCTGGCTGAGATTTACCTCATTTCTTAAACCCTTTGGTCCCAATTTAAATCTCATGATCCAAAAGTGTAAAGGATTTTTGTTAGATTTGAGAAACTGATCAAATTTACAAAATGATCAAATATACAATTGATCAAATATACAACTGATCAAATGTAGAACTGATCAAATGTAAAATTAATCAAATGTACAAATGAAAGAATCAGTTTTGAAGCAAAAAACTTTTGATTCTTGCATAAATAAAAAGAAAAAAGTATAGCGTTATATGGTTGTATGACTATTTCCGATGTAGCAAAAATGATATGTGGTTGTATGACTATTTCCGATGTAGCAAAAATGATATGCGATATTATGAATATTTCAGATGTAGCTAAAATGATATGAGGTTGTATGACTATTTCCGATATAACAAAAATGATATGTGGTTGTATGACTATTTCCAATTTAGCCAAAATGATATGTGGTTGTATGACTATTACCGATATAACAAAAATGATATGTGGTTGTATGACTATTTCCGATATAACAAAAATGATATGAGGTTGTATGACTATTTCCGATATAACAAAAATGATATGTGGTTGTATGACTATTTCCGATGTAGCAAAAATGATATGTGGTTGTATGACTATTTCCGATGTAGCAAAAATGATATGTGGTTGTATGACTATTTCCGATGTAACAAAAATGATATGTGGTTGTATGACTATTTCCGATATAACAAAAATGATATGTGGTTGTATGACTATTTCCGATGTAACAAAAATGATATGTGGTTGTATGACTATTTCCGATGTAGCAAAAATGATATGTGGTTGTATAACTATTTCCAATGTAGCAAAAATGATATGCGATATTATGAATATTTCAGATGTAGATAAAATGATATGAGGTTGTATGACTATTTCCGCTATAACAAAAATGATATGTGGTTGTATGACTATTTCCGATGTAGCAAAAATGATATGTGGTTGTATGACTATTTCCGATGTAGTAAACATGATATGTGGTTGTATGACTATTTCCGATGTAGCAAAAATGATATGTGGTTGTATGACTATTTCCAATTTAGCCAAATGATATGTTTGTAAAAATATTTCCGATGTAGCAAAAATGTTAAGTGGTTGCAAGACTATTTCCGATATAACAAAAATGATATGTGGTTGTATGACTATTTCCGATGTAGCAAAAATGATATGTAGTTGTATGACTATTTCCGATGTACCAAAAATGATATGTGGTTGTATGACTATTTCCGATGTATCAAAAATGACATGAGGTTGTATGACTATTTCTGATGTATCAAAAATGATATCAGATTTTATGACTATTTAGGATGTAGCAAAAATGATATGTGATTGTAATACTATATCCGGAGTAGCAATAATAAGGTATGTTTGTATGAATATTACTAGAGTGGCAATAATCATACCTGGTTGTATGACTGTTTTATATATTGTATGTTTTCAACCAAACTCTGAGCAAAATAAAATGTCTGCTATCGGGACTTGAGTTTTAAGGGGTGCAAGAATGTACCTTTTTTTATTTTTATTTTATTACTAAGGGGTGGGTTGGGGGAGTCAGGAATCAGGTTAGCAAAATATGAAATGAGTAAAACAAAGAAAGGTCACACCTGAAAAATCGATCCAAAAAAAAAATAAAAAAAGAGGGGTGGGTTGGGGGAGTCAGGAATAAGGTTAGCAAAATATGAAATGAGTAAAAAAAAGAAAGGTCACACCTGAAAAATCGATCCAAAAAAAAAAAAAACACAAAAGAAAACCGACCGTTTCGGCAGGAAGCCTTCGTCAGCGAAAAAGAATTTAAAAAATAGTATTTGGCTGTGGAGTAGAATCAGATAGGGCAGCAATCGAATTTTGTAGCGTTCCTTCTTTTTCAGGTTTGACCTTCTTCTTCTTCTATATATTTAGGGCCCACGATCAATTTATTGACCATTTTGGCTCCTATGCATGTAGAGGGGATTTGCAATGTTTATGTGCCTGGTGTTGATAAGGACATTTCACTGATTTCCAGTGCCACTTTGTGAGGGAATTATGCACTGGGGGTTTGAAGGCTTGAGGCGATAGACACAAATGAATCTAATGTTTTCACCTCAACTTTACTTTGTGTTTCTCATTTTCTTAATTTTATTTTTAAAATTATTGATAAACAGAAGACACCAGAGATCACCCGGAAGTGGATTCCCCGTTTATTATGAATTAGTTAAAATTAATGTAATTAAAATGCTTTAAACATTAAAATTAAATTTTTTGGAACATTTTCTATTTCAGGCGTTGATATTGATGGATAGAGGATTATCTGCAGTATTTCTGTAAGTTTAATTAAATTCTCTTCCCACTGTACCTTTATTCGTTATTTATTTATCGATTCATTGATTTTTTACATAACCACAAACACTTGCTCACAACCAATTTATAAATCAAAGGGAAAATCTGAATCTTCTGAAGTATTTAAATAAAACAGAGCTATCATTGAATTGTTCGTGTGTTTGAATTTATGTCTCTCCAACTAAAAATATTGAATGCCATTTTAACACAATGGATCAAATCATTTTAAACACAATGGATTAAATAATTTTGAATACAATGGATCCAATAATTTTTAACAAAATGAATCAAATAATTTTAAACACAATGGATCAAATCTTATTAAACACAAAGGACCAAATAATTTTAAAAAAGGAACCAAAACAAATAATTTAACACTAGATCAAATCATTTAAAAAAAGATGTATGAAATCATGTAACACCCAATGGATCAAATCATTTTAAACGCAATGTGTCAAATCTGCTCAAACACAATGGAAGAAATCATTTTCAAGACAACAGATTAGATCATTTAAACGCAATGGATCAACTAACTTAAACAAACTGAATAAAACCATTTTAACACAATAAATTAAATCATTTTAAATAATGTATCAAATCATATGGCCCCCAATGGATCAAGTCCTTTTGAAGCCCAATGTGTCATATCCTTCTAAACACATGGATCAAATCATTTTCAAGATAAATGATCAAATCATATTTAACATAATGGATCAAATTAATTTAATCAAAGTGGATCAAATTATTTTAAACACAATAGATTAAATCATTTAAAACACAATGAATCAAACCATTTTAAACAATCTATAAAATCACATAACACCCAATGGATCAAATCCATTTTAAATGCAATGTCTCAAATCAATTTAAACTCAAACGATTACATTTTTAACACAAAAGTCCAAATTCATTTGAAGCGCTATGTGTGAAAGTCGTTTAAAAATAATGGATCAAATCATTTGAAACACAATTTATCAAATTATTTTAAACACAATGGATCAAATCATGTATTACACAATCGATGAAATCATTTAGAATAAAATTGATTGAATCTTTTTAAACAAAATGGATCAAATTATTTTAAAAACAATAGATAAATAATTTGAACACAATGGATCAAATGATTTTAAACACAATGTATCAAATCATTTCAAACATAATGGATCAAATCAATTTCTTGAAACATTTGAAGTTTTACAAATTATAGTGTTAAAAAATTCATAAACAATAATTTGCATTAATTTATTTTTTCGGAAATATAGTTAGTGTAAGTATAAATATTTATATTTTATTTCCCCGCCATTATGACTTCAGTTGGTAGGACTTAACATTAGTGATATATATATTTATATACATATACATATATATATTTATTTATTTTTATATACACCCATTTATATATATTTAAAATGCTTCTATTATAATGAATATTCCCAGGTCCTAACAACAACAACAAGCCATGAACGGAATGGAACTCATCTTTATATTTGCTCTCACATCCCTAAGAATAATTTCATCATTATCCGTCGTCCGAGATGATAATGTTGAGTTCTATGATTCACGCCAGGACAATTGTGATCTAGAACTGTATCAGGGCAAGAGTCAGTTAGAATGTGCCCCTTTGACTGGGGATTTATACCACAACCTGTGGCATGGTACAATGGCCAAGAACAAGACTACACAAATGACCAGTTGTTGTAGATTATGCTGTTATGGACAAGTCGCTGATTGTGGTCGCTGTAATCTTACAGAAGTCCCGCAAGATTTACCAGACAACATTACGCACCTTCTTCTAAATTATAATAATATCACTAGCAGCGCCCTCTACCCTGGAGTGTTTGTAAACTATTCCAAACTCCTCGTCCTTCAGATGGATTCCAATAATCTCACAGTTCTACCTGAAGGAGTATTTTATGGTCTTAGCTCTCTAATTCAACTCAGTCTTTACAACAACAATATTTTGATGGACTCGGCACTGAATGGGTCAACCGTGTTTGCTCTGTTGGGAAACACTTTAAAGATTCTTGTCATGAACAGGAACAATCCCAACACGTCATCAGAGCAGTTGATGTACCCAGATTTTGCCCTGTCTTTTCTGACCAAACTGACCGTTCTGCACATTGATGGGCTGATGAACAAGACATTTGATCATGGGTTCTCAAACTTAAAGAACTTGAGGAATTTAACTTTGGCTGGTTTCAAGTGTGGCTATTGTAACATCCATTTACTAAGTAACGAAACATTTCAGTTCTTGACAAGTCTGCACCACCTAAACGTGTCTGATTGTGGAATACAAGGGAAAATCATCGAAAATGGCGCTTTTGAGAAATTAACAGAGTTAAGGTCCTTGGATGTATCTCATAATTTTGATCTTGGTCTTTCCGCTCTCGGTAACGTCATGTACAGTTTTAGAAACAGTCCAAATTTACGTCATTTGAAATTGCAAAGGATTGGGGCTCGCTTTGCTGCTTGTATTGTTGTCTACAAACACACACTGCGACATTTCAAGAACACTAGTCTGGAGGTGATTGAAGCCATGGACAATGAGATTGAGATGATTGAGTTTGGGGCCATTCAAATGTTGCCCCCAACACTAAGGACACTCAACCTCACCAACAACAGAATCATGTTCGGTGCCTACTGGAGGGACATGGGTTACCTGACACGACTTCAAAGCTTACACCTGGACAACGTTCCTACCCGCTTTAAATTCGCTCTCAGTTTTCCTTCTAAAAAACTTCACTGTAAGCCACCACCTAACGAGGACGGTAGCGATGTTAAAGAAGAGTCTGACGAACCTTTCATCCTGCCGTTGCCACCAACTTTAACCCAACTAACAATGCACAGCAACTCCCTAGAGTACCAAGTCAACAACATTAGCTTTAGTGACAACAACAGCTTGGAGCATGTTGATATTAGTGGTAACATGTTCAATTCTCTAATTGGTCCTATCACGGGACTTCACAGTCTCAAAAATCTGTCAATGTCAAGCTGTTTTATAGAAACTATCAAAAATATGTTCTTTAAAACTCTGACGAGCCTACGATATCTGAATCTTTTTCAGAATCTGCTAGGAGAATGTCTGTACAGAAATAATGACATCTTTGATCCTTTGATTAATTTAACTTATTTAAACATTTCTTTCAACAACTTATACCGTCTTAGTAATGGAACTTTCAAATCTTTGAGAAGTTTAGAAATTTTAGATTTATCCACTAACAGACTTGGCAATATTCACTTTAGTATCGCTCACATGCAAAACTTGAAACTTTTGGATCTTCATAAAAATCAGATTGGTTCATTACATAAACACATTCGAACAGCCATCAACGAACTCCTGGCCGCTAACAAAACTCTTTACGTGGACATGCGGAACAACCCAATCCTCTGTGATTGTGACAACCTGGAGTTCCTAGAGTGGGTTGTAGAGACCAATATTTTTCGTTTCCCATCTAAGGATTATTATTGCAAATATGTCAGTGCTGATCAGGTGTCGGTGGAGATGCCAGACGGGTATGAAGACGAAGTGAGAAAACTTAGGCGATTGTGTAAAACAAATGTTGGACTTTTTGTCGCCGTGGTTGGCGCAACATTAGCTGTCTTGGTGTCTCTTCTAGGGGTCATCATGTACAGATTGAGGTATAGACTGTGTGTCCTAGCGAACTTTTTATAAATCATTAAATTGTTCAAAGTTTTTTTGACAATATCATAAATAATTAGTTTCATGTGATGTATATCTTGGTCATTTGTTTGTTGGGGCTGGGGGGTTTTGAGAGGTCGGAAACAAGCATATCCGTAAATTTGTAAATGTATTCTTCAAATTGTTTCTTGTTTCTTAAAAATATAACCTATTTTGAAGGCATTCCGTTGGAAGGAGCTGCAAATGGTTTTGATAACCGCATGTGGTACGGTTCAAAAAGCAAGCCTCTATCGTATGGAACTGGTTCCTCATGTCTAACGCCCCATTGTCCTCATTGGACAGGAGGGAAATATGATTATAATATTTAAATAGGTAAAATATTTAAAGTTAAAGCATAACTGTAGTATCTCTTTCCAGGTGGACGCTAAGATACTGGTACCATGCTGCCAAGTTTTATGTCCATCACAAAGCAAGCCCAGAGATGTATGAATACGATGTGTTCATCAGTTATGAGAACGGGGATGTCAAATTTGTGTTGGAGGTTAGAGGTCATGTTTCCAAACTTTTCCTTCTGTTTTTTATGTAACAAAATTTGAAATATATTTAATATGATTAAGTTAACAAAGGTTGGTCGGGTTACTGTGTAGCAGGAGGGTAAAATAATAGTTTAGTTTATATTTAATGTCAAAAATGTTTTTGTATTTGTGAAAAAATTTCTTTCAGAATAAATGTTTGAAATGACACAACTGTTGATAATTCCAGGAGCTGTGCCCAAAGTTGCGAGACGAGAGAAAAATCAAAGTTTTGATTCACGGGGAAAACTTCCAAGTCGGTCGTCAAATCGCTGATAACATTTACATGGCAGTCACTCAATGTCGTAAAACTTTGGTCATTTTGACGCGGCGACTGCTGGCCAGCAAATGGTGCAAGTACGAACTACAAGTGAGTCACAAAGATGTTTTAAATCATGTGGGGAATATATTTAACATATTTAAATGTCATTTGGTCCTTATTTTCTGTTTAAAAAAATTTTTGTTTTAAAATCCAAGTTTAATAAGAATAATATTAAAAAAAATAAATATTGTAACTTTTACCTTTAATAAACCCCAAAGCTTTTAAAAACTACACATTACCTAAAACATATTTTATAAAATCAAGAACATTAAGATATAAAGCAAATTGAATAAAACCATAAATGTTAGAACATTAGTTTGGTATCTTTTCCCAGATGGCGAGACTGGAGTCCATTAATACTGGATTTAACGTGTTAATATTCCTTCTCATGGATGAGATCCCAACTCATGAGATAAATGTTGAAGTCATGTCTTATATCAAGTCTAGTATGTACATAGCTTATCCCAAAGATCCCAACCACAGAAAGGCCTTCTGGGATAAATTGGCTCATGATATTAAGGCGTAATAATTATTGCTTGACTCTTGAGATTGTGATAAACTTATAAGTGGAGAACATAGAACTGAAGACCTTTGACATGTAATTATTACGGTGATAGGGCTAATGTCTTGGATAACACAGAGACCTGAACAGAATAGAAAAGAAAATAACTAGAGTAGAACAGAGAGCTGACCAGAGTAGAACAGAGAATTAACCAGGGTAGAACAGAGAGCAGACCAGAGTAGAACTAAGAATTAAATAGGGTAGAACAGAAAACTAACCAGAGTAGAACAGATAATTAACCAGGGTAGAACAGAGAGTTGACCAGAGTTAAGAGAGAATTGACTAGGTAAAAAAGATCTGACCAGGTGGAGAACACAGAACTGAATACAGCTGCCAGATAGTTACATGGTAATGACATACTTACCAGGAAAATGGTGATGACACACTTACCAGGACAATGGTGATAACATACTTACCAGGACAATGGTGATGACATACTTACCAGGAAAATGGTGATGACCTACTTACAGGACAATTGTGTTGACATACTTACCAGGATAATAGTGATGACATACTTACCAGGAAAATGACATACTTAACGGGGATATGATTAAATATGTTGATGTATTTAGAGGGACTGCAACAATAAAGATACATATTTAATTTTATTTGAAAACGCTATTACCTTCGACTCATCCAAACTTATGTAGACCAGTGTTACCCCTGCTATTACCTTCGACTCATCCAAACTTATGTAGACCAGTGTTACCCCCGCTATTACCTTCGACTGATCCAAATTAGTGTAGACCAGTGTTACCCCTGCTATTACATTTGACTGATCCAAATTAGTGTAGACCAGTGTTACCCCTGCTATTACATTTGACTGATCCAAATTAGTGTATACCAGTGTTACCCCTGCTATTACATTTGACTGATCCAAATTTGTGTATACCAGTGTTACCCCTGCTATTACATTTGACTGATCCAAATTTGTGTATACCAGTGTTACCCCTGCTATTACATTTGACTGATCCAAATTTGTGTAGATCAGTGTTACCCCCGCTATTACATTTGACTGATCCAAATTTGTGTATACCAGTGTTACCCCCGCTATTACATTTGACTGATCCAAATTTGTGTAGATCAGTGTTACCCCTGCTATTACATTAGACTGATCCAAATTTGTGTAGACAAGTGTTACCCCCCGCTATTACCCTCGACTCATCCAAATTTATGTCGACCAGTGAAAACGAGCGTGCAAATTACTGAAATAATAAAGATGTTTTTTGTGTGGATATTTAAATGAAAACTTTTGTAATTGATTGAAATTCCCAGAAATTCTCTCTCACAACACTTTCAATCCACCACCTCTCATTCTTTACCTTTTCGTCTAATTTTTCTAACACTCTACCACGCCGCTATTAGTTCCACATAATTATACACAGTGTCAGACTCTTTAGCACTCAACATTGGGAAATTATTCCATTCCCTGCCTTCTTAAAGCATGGGAGCATCCAGGAGTTGTCTAGGGCCTGAAGGTTCTATGGGGCCTCGCTCTTCTAGGGTTTCTCACGCTTGCAGAGGGCCCCAGGCTCCTAGGTGAACTCTCGCTTCTAGGCGTCTTACTCTTCAAGGTGCCTCATGCTTGTAGGTGACCTCACGCTTCTAGGCGTCTTACTCTTCTAGGGATCTTACTCTTCTCGAAGCCCCACGCTTGTAGGGGGTCTCTTGTGTCAACGGGACCCCTCACTTCTAGGGCGCGTCATGCTTCTAGCGGCCTCATGCTTCTTGGAGCTCACGCGTTCAAGTCAATCAAAGAGTTTAACAATAGTCACCAAATGAACTGTGTTCAAATAAATCAAAGAGTTTATCAATAGTCACACAATGAAATCTGTTCAAGTAAATCAAAGACTTTATCAATAGTCACAAAATGTTCAGAATATGTGATTAATCCGAAGAACATTCTAGCAGTTTGAAATTCGCAACAAACTTTTCAATTGACTGACTTTTTTTGGAAATGTATATTTGTTCAATTTGCTGAAATTTTGAGGAATGTTAAGTTTTTCAATTCACTGAATATTTGGAAAATGTATACTCTTTCAATTTACATCATTTTTGGAAAATAAATTCTTTGAATTTACTGAACTTTCAGAAATGTATACTCTTTAAATTTACTTAATATTTAGGGTATGTACACTCTTTCAATTAACTGTATTTTTAGAGAAATGTATACTCCTTCAAACACCTTTACATAAATCAAATAAAGTCTATAGACATTTTCTGCAAGTGGTATTTGCTATCTTCCTTTTGTTTCTATGAAATGTTTAAAATTTAAATAAATGCCAGAGGTACTTATGAAAATTATTGTTATTTATTTTCTTTTTCATTCAACATGCATGATGATGTTGTCAGTGTCTTAACATTTCTGTTTAGAACGGCTTGAAATTAAGTATTTAAGTCGTGTTAACACAGCCAGGTCAAGTGAGCCTACACTTCCTTTAGCATCTGTTCTGTGTCTCAACCATTGAGTGTAGAATAATTTCAACAATTAAAGGATTTCGCCTAAATGCAACCTTGAATTTAAAATTGAAACAAAAAAAAAATGTTTGAGCCGCTCATTGAATCCTTTCACTGAAACATCATCTTACATTTCGGTTGGCGCCCTCAATCTCAGCTCCTTCCTCGATCAAAGGGAAAGTACCGGAACCTTTTTATTTTAAAAAAATAGCCTTAGATGTTAGGCTTTAAAATGTTTGTCTGGAACTTTAAAAATGACTTAGTTCTCTTAATTTGGTAGACATTTGATATAGTTTGAATAGATAGATTCTGGGTTGAAACTGAGATGGAGATAAAATGAAACCCTAAAAAAGGGGGGGGGGGCGCCACAACCGGAATGAATTAATATACTGTGAGGAAGACAAAGTCAGAGCTTGCATTGTACGATGAAAATTATGGTACTGACAGATACACTGCCCCCTTTCTTTATACATCACCAGATATCTAGTCTATATTACACAGCATCATGCTTTATACATCACCACCATTGTATTCTAAATTACACAACTTAGCATCATGCTTAATACATCACCACCAAAAACTGAAAGGATAAAATAAATGCAGTAATTCAAACGACTGATCCACTCTGGCTTAGCAGTGACAAACCCTTCCATGACATCATCTCTGTTGACAAGACCAACCAGAAGACCAGATCAATTATTTGTTCCAGACCAATTGCAAGCAATTATTTTGTATCGTAAAATAAATGAACAAGGCGACACGTGAACCTCATAAGAGGGCGTGGTCTCGTCATATGTGGTAATTATCTCAGCTCTCCTTAGTCCCTACTGTTTACATTTTGTGTTGGCTTTAACTTATTTTCTAGTTAATTTCAAGTGTAAATATTTACTTGGTCAAAAGCGCAATTAGTCGCATCTAAAGGCTGACGGGAGTAAGCAGGGGAGCTAAATGTGAAAGTAGTTCTATGCTACAACTACGATTGATGACATCATCAGAAGTGATCAATCGGTGGCCTTAACCCTGCACTTAAATTGATTGGTCTTAAAGAGCTTATCGCCATATATAAGTAGAGTAGATTTCTATCCGCATATCCATCAGATAGACAGACTCCTATGTTATTTCAGTGATTGACACCTTACGTGTCATATCTTAAGCGCATATTTAATCTTGGTCTTACAGACACGCCCTCGTTAATGTGTGGTGCATTTTAACCATTCACTTTACATGTGGTGAATGCAACAACCCGACCCTTGCTTAAAGTGACACACAGCCTCAAAGACCATGCATAGCCTCTAAGACTGTGCGTAGCCTCTAAGACCGTGCATAGCCTCTAAGACCGTGCATACCTTCTAAGACCGTGCTTAGCTTCTAAGACATAGTGCATAGTCTCTAAGACCATGCATAGCCTCTAAGACCGTGCATAGCTTCTAAGACATAGTGCATAGTCTCTAAGACGATGCATATCCTCTAAGACCGTGCATAGCTTCTAAGACATAGTGCATAGTCTCTAAGACCATGCATAGCATCTAAGACCGTGCTTAGCTTCTAAGACCGTGCATAGCCTCTAAGACCGTGCATAGCCTCTAGGACCGTGCATAGCTTCTAAGACCGTGTATAGCTTCTAAGACCGTGCATAGCCTCTAAGACCGTGCATAGCCTCTAAAAACGTGCATAGCCTCAAAGACCGTGCATAGCTTCTAAGACCGTGCATAGCCTCTAAGGCTGTGCGTAGCCTCTAAGACCGTGCATAGCTTCTAAGACCGTGCATACCCTCTACGACCGTGCATAGCTTCTAAGACCGTGCATAGTCTTTAAGATCGTGCATAGCCTCTAAGACCGTGCATAGCTTCTAAAACCGTGCATAGTCTCTAAGACTGTGCATAGCCTCTAAGACCGTGCACAGCTTCTAAGACCGTGCATAGCCTCTAAGACTATTAAACCTGATGTGGCTTGCCATCGTTAATTCTTACAATGACGTCATCCGTTTTCAACATCGCCAACCACACCACGATAATCTTCATCAACACTTCTAGGCAACAGACCAATGCCATAGAAGTGGCTACTGCTGATGAAGATGTCCACCAGTACATTGACGACGTCACAACGCTGTACGTCCTGCGTATTTTAATGCTTGGTGTCACCCCCGCCATCTCGCTGTTTGGTATCACCGGCAACGTCTTCAGCATCGTCATTCTCTACAAACATGGCCTCCGGAAGTGTTCCAACATTCTCCTCATCTCCCTCGCGGTCAGCGACTTCACGTTCCTCATCGGCTTCAACAGCGTGCCCAAATTTCTCTATGAAGTCGTCAACGAAGTTGACGGGTTCCGGTTCAGTCTAGAAGCTTCCTACGTTCTTTACTACTCCTATCATGTCTTTCACACCATGGACTACGCCTCTGGAGGCATCTCATTGACGCTGCCCATGTTTATAACAGTTGAACGCCTCGTCGCTGTGTTTCTGCCCCTGAAGTTCCACCAGATCGTCACGCCGACACGGACGTGGTGGGTTGTCGTACTCGTCAGCGCCTTCTGGTATGTCTACTTCATTCACACGTCACTCTTCGTAGGGTTTAGTTATGAGCACAACGTGGAGTTCAATAGATCTATAGGCGTCCTGACACGGTCCGCTTACCATTACAGCAACATCCAAACGGTTGGGATACTGGAGGAGACCATGTCCTACCTCATGATGAAAATCCCGCCGGTTTTTACGATGTTGGGTTGCGTCGTCATTGGGGTCAAGGTTAAGATGGCGTCCAGCAAGCGTCAGAAAATGACGTCGAAAGGCGGGAAGAGCGAATCGTCCAACCGTACAACGAAAATGCTGCTGGCTGTGTGCGCCGTGTACACGGTGGCGTGCGGGATCCTCTCGCTCCCCACGTTCGTCCCACAGTACATCCACTACACGATGACCAGCGACGCCCCGTCCAACCTGGGGAGGGTCATGTACCAGGTCATCAACATCGTCGTCTGCATCAACAGCTCCTACAACTTTGTGATCTACGTGGCCATGAACAAGACCTTCCGTGACACGTACAGGGCATTGTTTGTCAAATGTTTTAATGGCAAGAGTTAAGAGGTCGTAGCTCAAACAGGTATTACAATTAAGTACGTCATACTATCAGGCCATACTATCAAGTCATGGTATCAAGGCATACTATCAAATCATGCTATCAAGTCAAACTATCAAGTCATACTATTAGGCCATACTATCAAGCCATACTATCAAGTCATACTATCAAGTCGTACAATCAAGTCATACTATCAAGTCATACTATCAAGTCATACTATCAAGCAACACTATCAAGCCACACTATCAAGTTATACTATCAAGTCGTACAATCAACTCATACTATCAAGTCATACTATCAAGCCATTGCTTGTTTAAAGTGTTTCATCATTGCTCCAAAAGTCTCACTTAAAAAAAAGGGGGATAACGATATCAATTCGTCAGTCGTCTCCAATCTTCACCGTGGCTTAAATTCCCTTAATTATTCAAAATCACATTAATTGTTGCATGAATAAAAAGTTTGTTTGTGTCGTCGGTCTGTAGCATTCTTTGTTCAGCTTGACATTGAAAAGATGTTGGCGCTTGGGGTGAAAAGGAAAACATAATTTTGTATGGTGGAGATGGGGAATGGCTCTGTTGGCGTACATGAGACCACGCCCACCAATTTCCCGGTTCTTGTGCCCCCTTGTCCTCCCCCCCCCCCAACCGCATTGAAAGTTGATAGTTTCATTTCTGTCTACATCACAACATCGGGTCTCTTAAATAACTATTGAAAAGAGGTTGGGGGTTGGGGGGAAAAGGAAAACATAATTTTTGTTGGGGGGGAGGGGGAATGGCTCTGTTGGCGTACATGAGACCCCGCCCACCAATTTCCCGGTTCTTGTGCCCCCTTGTCCCCCCCCCCCCCCCAACCGCATTGAAAGTTGATAGTTTCATTTCTGTCTACATCACAACATCGGGTCTCTTAAATAACTGAGGTTTCCTTCAGACGCATGGGTGCAAATGCCATGCGATGGCTCCTGCAATAATGTCTTTTTCCAAGTGGTCGTTGTCTTGCTTTCTGTGTGCTGAAAGGTAACTTTTTTTCTTTGTGTTTTTATTTTATAAATTTTTCAAATAAAAGTCTTGTTTTTTTTTTTAACCTAAACGTAATGTAGAATAAATTGTGTTTAGAGATTTCATTTTGCCCAAAAAAGTCGCTGCAGTACTCTGCATATAAGTTCAGTTCATCAAAATAATAGTTTCATTCTGTTGAATTTATTGCCAACTCTTTGTGCAGTATTCAAATAATTGTACAAATCAGTTGGATCGAGGGTCCCCACAAGCTCAGAACCAACTGGCTGATTTTGACTACTTGCTAACACCGACCAGCACCGCCAGAAGGTGAGGTTGGATACATAAACCAGGCACACACGCTGATGGTCCACGTTTTGGGCAGATTGATTGGTGATTGGGGCAACACGCTCGGCCTCAAAACTTTTACCCCCCCCCCCCCCTTCAACCGTGTACTCGTTTTCGATTTCAAGGGCTACCCTTCTTCCTCCCAGACATAGTTGGCGGAAGTGCCTATGGACCGAATGCAGATACCGCGCATTTCGTCCGTTGGCTGCAAGCCGCCGTGTTCATGCCAGTTCTTCAGTTCTCCATAACGTATTGGTCTGATAACGCATTTTTTTGGAACTGACAAAAATACATACATCCTCATAAGCAGTACTCAGATAAGTTCGTTGACTTGGCTAGCCACGCCCAGAAAAAAAAACAAATCAATTAACAGATCGTTATGGTGGGTAGACCCCGATAACACGACGGCCCAGCGCCTGATGCTTCTTCTCGGGGATGACCTCCTCGTTGTCCTGGTCCTGGAACAGGAAAGGAGGTCACGTGATATTTAGTCACACAATGGAAGGGTGAGTTGAGGGCGTGGTTGTGTAGGATAGGGCGTGGCTTAGAAATTACCCCACCACCTTGAATGTTTTACCAAAATGTTAAAAAAATTGTTTAATTCGAAATATTACTCTTCTGAAAGTAAACAAATTACTTAAAAGTCAATTACAAAATTATATTAACAATTTAATGATGAAGCTTACTGAAATATTCAGCCCTTCTCTTAACATTGTTTAGATGGTTTAGTTTTCTTTTTTAATTGCCAAAGAAAAATGTCCAGATTTCAAAGTTTCAAAGACTGAACCAATAAAATTCTGTTCCACTGGTGTTCATGGGGATTGACCAAGAAGCAATCCTGTGGCAGGAAGACGGGGAAATGATACCGCCGTAGTTTACCATCATGTGTGTATTGATGCAAACACTGATTCGCTCCAGAAACTTTACTTCCATTGACATATTCAAAACATTTTGGTGTTGCCTTTTTATTTATTTAATATTTATTATTATGTACGGCATCCTTCCGTCTTCGTGAGACGAAGAAGTAGTTATATAGTCCTACGCTTCAACAAGTGGCTCTCTAGGCCAATCCGAAAATGACAATCTCTACCGCATCTCTCACAGGAGAATATTGATTCCTGGTAAGATTTTGACTTCTGATTTGTTCTTTTGTTGCAAGGGCCTCGTTTGGCGTATCTTCTGCCTTTTTGACTCCTTCATACACTGCTGTACGCCAGATGGAACGTTGTTCGGCAATGAGCTCCTATTCGTTGTTTTCAATATTGGCTTCCCTCATGCTACTTTTGCAAACGTCCATAAATCTCAGGCGTGGCTGTCCAATAAGCTTGTCCTTTCTGCCAACTCTCCATACAGCAGCATCTTTGGGATACGTCCTGCCTCCATTCTCCTTACATGACCTAACCAGCGAAAGCGCCTATTGCTAAGAGTGGAGAATATGCTAAACATGTTTGCACGTTCCAAGACTTCCGTGTTAAACACCTTGTCCTGTTATCGAATGCGTAAAATGTGACGCAGACATCTTGATAGAAGCTGTTGAGTTTCCGCTCCTGACTGGTATATGTGGTCCACACTTCGCTACCATAAAGGAGCGTACTAAGCACACATGCCTGATAAACACTTATTTTTGTTCTATCAGTTAGATTGAGATTATTCCACACCCGCTTATTCAGTTTAGCCATCGTTGCTGCATGCTGCTTTGCGATCCTGATATTGATCTCTTCATCAACGGAGAGAGAACTAGAAATATTGGTTCCAAGGTATGTAAAATGCTAAACAACCGAAAGATTATGACCCTCAATAGATATTGGAGGGGACTTTGGATCTTGCATCATTACATGTGTTTTCTGTAGACTAATAGAAAGTCCAAACTCTTTACAAGCGTGTGATAGACGATTAACCAGCCCCTGCAGACCTTCTTCTGTGTGAGATGTCAAAGCGACATCGTCAGCGAACGGCAGTTTACGAATCAAAACCTTTTTTACTTTGGTCTTTGCACGAAGACGGGTAATATTGAACAGCCTACCATTTACCTATAATTTATATATATTTATATATATATATATATNTATATCGGGCTGGGCATGTGCATTACAACATTATGAGCTAAGCTAAAGGGACAGGGTATTTCACGGTAGAGTGGCTTGCCCCATAAGAATTTGTTTCCATCATTTTTGTTTTATTGTCTGACATACTTGGCCCTAGTTACTTGCCCCTAGATAAGAGCACCTAGTTATGAACCCCTAGTTACGAGATTCTATATAAGAGTCCCTAGTTACGAGTTTTTAGCATTTAGTCAAAATGGTCCCGGCCACGCATCGCCTTCATTCGCACCCGGGTCCCATTAGACCAATGCGATTTGGATGTCATTTGTGGTATTTTATTTTAGTTAAACTGAATAAATAAGTTTACAAACATATAATCCATTCAAATATCTGTTATTTGATACCTCATTTTGTCTTACAACCCAACAATAACTGTAAATAGCTTTTTAATCCCAATCTCTGACATTTGGTACCCGGGTACAAATAGGCGCAACCTTTTTAAAATCATTTTTTTTTAGAATTCTTGAGAGATTCCAACCAGAATCGACTCGTTCAAAGCTCACATTCAGTGTGTATGATGTTTGTTACAGGGGACCCCTAGCCGAAGTTTGTTAGACAATCAAATTGTTAGCTGGCTATCAACAAGTGGTTAGCAAGGGTACACGAGGTCACGGTGTGAGACTAGACTCTTAAATTAAGAAAGCTGAACATAGTTTGTCATTTAAAAATAGACAATATCAACAAAAGTAGACAATATCAACAAAAATAGACAATAGCAAAAAATAGACATTTTCAACAAAATAGACAATTTCAACAAAAAATAGAAATATCAACAAAAATAGGCAATATCAACAAAAATAGACAATAGCAACAAAAATAGACAATTGCAACAAAAATAGACAATTGCAACAAAAAAATTAAATATCATCAAGAATAGACAATAAAAACAAAAATATACAATATAACAAAAAAGATAATATCAACAAAAATAGATAATATCAACAAAAATAGACAAAATCAACAAAAATTAGACAATATCAACAAAAACAGACCATAGCAACAACAATAGACAATAGCAACAACAATAGACAATAAAAACAAAAATAAACTATGTCAACAAAAATAGACAATATTAACCAAAAATAGATAGTTTTAACAAAAATAAACTATATAAAACCAAATCTTGCCTAATTTAATCCATGTTACAATTCATTTCATTAAATTAATTGTATCACGGGATTTCCCGAGATGAGAGATTCGAGCCGTTTTCCCGGGTTGAGCAAACATGTCCATCTTAAGATCGTCAGAAGCCCTGGGCAAACTAATGCTCCAACGCTGCTCATTCCATATAACATATGCAAGTCACGATAAAACATTAGAGGCAAAGTTTAGCACATGAGTCATGTCCGGTGTCTCTTATAGACAATTTTTTCGGGCGTTCAGGAAAGGGATAGGGCTTCTATCAGTGTTAAAATTAGGTATAATTTCATCCAGGTCAAGCGATGACTTTATCATCCTCACCCGATACCGAAAAACATAAACTATTTCCGGTTATGCCCCCCACCCCCCCCACCCCCTTTTTTTTGAGGGGATGTTTTTGTCTCCAGATTAGTTGTTTCTGAAATCTATATAGTCCAATGGTGATGGGGGTGACATTTTTACAAAACACGCGTTTAAGGAACACACTTTATAAGAACCCCAACCAGTGCTACCCCTCTCCCCACACCCACAGGCTCGCAATCGCAATTTTTTTTCACCTCCTCGAAAAAAAAAAAGAAAAAAATGTTTTTTGGTGTTCTAGGATTGGTGGGTGGGGCTGAAAAAATTGGCATAATATGTTGACATTGGCAACGAGTCTATGGGCCAAGTTTCAGCTCGGTAGGTTCATGGATAGTGGGTCCATTTTCCGTCTGAAGATTTTGCCAGACAGAAACACACGAACATAAGCCAAGTGAATATAAAGGATTAAAAAAAGAAATTCATGAACTAAAACAAAAAGAACAGGATGAAGCCCACATAACAGGAAATACCAATCCGTCCTCTTAGTGTCAAGGACAACAACTCATACCAATATATGTAAATATAGAGATTTTATTGGAAAAGATGACGAGAAAGCTAGTTCTTTAAAACAGTTTGAAAGAATATTCCAAGCATTTAGCTACAGCGAAGACACTCGGGAAACATATTACTTAGTAGATTATCTGGGAAGAGTCTCAGCATCATAAATTCACTTAATGAACAGTAAAAGAACGAGTGTGACATGAATATGTAAAAAAAAAAAGATTTACTGGAATTCTATGAAAGGACAGATGACGATTACGTAAGAAGATTTAATCAAACACGACTAGAAAGTGAAACAGAAGACCCCAACACCACTATCTCCAACATTAGAGATAATCTAAACTAATTGATATGGCTGACTAAGGTGGTTGTGAACAATTCTAAAGCATTGCTAGACATGTTCATAAGAGACACATGGTTAAGAAATGCATCTACCCTTTTGTTTACCCTTTTAAAAGAAAGCAAAATTAAAACAGAAATATATTTGGTTGATGCTGTCTCAGCCTTCAAAGCATTCAAGCATAAAAATAAAGAGTTGGATAACAGAAATGACAAGGTACCAGTTTTAGAAATGTACTCTTTTAACTGACCGTATACCCACTGATTGCGCTCAAGAAATGGAAGGTAGCCAAGAATAAAATCTACAGATGGTCTTTAATATTACTGGAGAAATGATACGAAATCAAATCACTAAAAGGCAAAGATAACATGATGGCAGAGTTTCTGTCAAAGCATATTGAATACAAAGACACTGAACAGGACACAGAGCTAAAACACATCATTCAGATAGAGTACGTTTGTGTAAGTCAGGGTCATTTTGACAATGAACCATATGATATGCTTGAATTAATGACATTTTCATAAAAAACATTTTTTTATAATGACATAGATGATTGTTGTCTTTCTCACAGTACATTGATGATCTTTGAAAAATAGATTATGAATCATTAATCACTTGGGACACTATGTGATGTTTAGTCAATTAATAGCACATTGTCTGTACTGCAAGGTGAGCTTTAATGTTTGATGGATCAGAAGGAAACAGAAGAGAGATGTTCCACTAGACAATCATTTTATGAAATAATACCATGATCACTTTGATACTTCATTAAAATTGATACGGAATTAACCATTGGCGTGTAACATTAAGATATAATTCTGAACATTATAATTTAAAATTTAATGTAATTTTGTACTCTGTATTTTCGTATGTGAATAAATTTATATAAACAATGAGAATGATCATGACAATTTTCATATGCAATTCCTTAATAATCGATACTTAGTAAATTGGTTGTTATAGTTGAGTATCATCAAGGATGTATAATTGATTACAAACAAAACTGAAATTAATATTGGATACTTACCTCACATCAAAAGATATGCTTTGTTTTTTCTTAAAATATGGGTGGGGGCATATAACACATGCTCTTGTACACGACGGTCAGGATTTTTGAACTCGAGACTGGGCGGAGCAATACTTGAGAAAAGCCTGAAGTCAGGGACTTATTTTATTGTCGGAAGTATAATTCATGAGCTTGAAGTGGGAGATTTGGGCAGACCTTTTGCAGAAGTTGGACGCACCTTTTATTAATGAATGTCTCAGATGTTATCTTGTATTTTCTGGAGCTGCATATCCTTCTATGTTGCTGATCTTGTTGTTATAATTGCTCCAAGGATATGTATCGTGTTTCATGTAAGTAAAGTGTATGGTGTGTAAAAATTGTCATTGTAAAGACATGGCAGTACTGTCAATGTAGTTTTAAGATTTAGATAACTATCACCACTGTGAGAGTCCCCACCACTCCACACACACACAAGATGAACAGCTACAACTATATTTTTGATTTTTTGTTCGTACTTTTTCCATTTCGAACAAACAAAGATTTATAAGTGTCTCTAAAGTTTTTGTTCATGGCGACGTAGATGATAAAATTGGACGAGCTGTTGACACAGAGGACGATGTTGATGGCCTGGTACAGGATTGTCCCCATGTTAGAGGGCGCGTCGCTCGTCATGGTGTAGTACACGTACTGGGGAAGGTACGTGGGCAGGGACAAGATGGCGCAGGTCACCGTGTACAGCAGACACACAGCTAGCAACATTTTAGTCGTGCGGTTCGAGGATCCCTCTGCCTGGCCCTTTGACGTCATTTTCTGTCTTCTGCTCGACGCCATCTTAACTTTGATACCGATGACGATGCAGCCGGCAAAGGTCAAGGCCGGAGGGATTTTCATCATCAGCATGGACATGGCCTCCTCCAAGAGAAATACAACATGGAGACTGGAGTAGTGATAAGCGGACCGTTGGATGAGTCCTACAGAGATGTTAACCCTGGCGTTAAACTCGTAGCTAAACGCCATGTAGAACGACATGTGCACGAAAAACGCGTACCAGAAAACGGAGATGAAAGCAACAGCGAACCAGGTCCTGGCAGGGGTGACGATCTGGTGGAACCTCAGGGGCAGAAACACGGCGACGAGTCTTTCCAAGGTGATGACCACGGGCAACGACAGGGACACGCCGGCAGAGGCGTAGTCCATGATATGAAATATGTGATAGAATATGTAGAGGACGTACGAATCCGTGAGACTGAACAAGAAGCTATGCGAGTCTCCCATAACTTCATAGATGAGTTTTGGCACGCTGTTGAAACCGATGAGAAACGCCATGTCGTTGATGGCCAACACCAACAATGTGATGTTGGAACATTTGTGGAGGCCATGTTTGGTGAGGATGATGATGCTGAAGATGTTGCCGATAACGCCGAAAATACCGATGGCCGGCGTGACTCCAAACATCAAAATTCTCATGATGAATAAAGTTTGCTCATCATCTATGATCTGTTGTATGGGGACGTTTTCTGAAGCTGAGTCCGGGAGCGAGTCGGGTGGGCTAGTTGTGTTATAGATACTGCGAGTATCAACCCTTCCAGACATTCTTTAGTCTTTTCATAAACACCTGTAAATAAGCAATCTTTGCTCACCGAATATTTACAGGGTTAAAGGTCACAGGCTGAGATGTTTTATAGAAACAAACTGCTCAACAATGGTACAGCTCTTGTACTCTGTAAGGAGGTAACATTTATACAGTAGAAAAAGATTGCTACATTAAATGATACAAATTAATGTTGTTGCTTTTTTGAGCCCATCTGCTAATGCAAAAGTTTTATTGAGGCCCGGCTCTTAATGAGTTGTAAATCATCTAATGGGCGGCGACAAACTACCTTTAACAGTATATATCTAACACTGGCTTAGGGCGGACCTACACGTTTACATTGACTCTATCTTATATAATATAACAAATTAGTATACCTTGTTCTTAGCTATATCATGAAATCCCCCAAGGCTCAGGAAAGGTGTTACCCCTCTAGCGCTAGAGGTAAAACATTAATTCACCTTTTTGTTGTTTTTCATTTGATCACTGCATCGCTACTGAGTTGTGGCGATCAGACAGAAAAGGATTTAATTGAAATGAAACTTAGTTTTCGAGATAAATGCTGCAGTGAGACAAAGACGAAATTCAATGTGCACTGAACACAGTGAAAGCTGATCACGATGACGTAGAGGTGGGCGGGGTTGAAGCGGTTAGACCAATCAGAAGAAATCATCAGGTAACATTTGTAACATGTGATGAGTAAGTTTATCATTCTGTTAAAAATCCTATCAATATATTTTGTTTCAGAAAAAGCGCAATGTATTCTCAAGTAAGTAGCCAGATGATCATAGCAGTTGTTGATTATATTTATATCATTAGTCTCTGGTTTAATGTCATTAACAGGAGTCTTCAATACTCAATTTTAAATACGAAATAACAGTGCAAATAAGAAGATGCTATTCGAGCAAGATGATGCTCTAACCGGTGACCTAATTCGGGTGTCTCACCAATTATTTGTTAGCAAAGCTGTTTGCTCAAATGAAAGCTGCAATTATATCTCCAATCGGTGCTGCAATCAATACTACAATTACTGCTACAATTAGTGCTACAATAAGTTCCACGACTACTTAACCTACCAACAAACTAGATCGTCTAGGATCGACCAAATCTTAAGCCTTACCTTTACTTGTACACAGACTTTTAACGATGTGTACGTAGTTTTAATCAAGTCAACAGAGATCCCCCGTTATTTTGGGTCATTTAATTTGGCTGGGGGGGGGGCGGACTATGAAAGGGAGGGGGGAGGTAGGAAGATTTGAAAGTTGAAATTGCACGCGATGATTGAATAAGTCAGTGTTTCTTAACCTGTGGGTCGCCTAAGGCCATCTGAAAACACATATCCTTACACCTATGACGTAGCAACGAAAATAATTGTGTGGCTGGGGGTCGCCACGACACGAGAAACTGTGTTAAAGGGTCGTGGCACTAAAAAGGTTGAGAACCACTGGAATAAGTCCTGGAAATCTGTTTAGAAAGGGAGGTAATTGTTTGGACGTTTTAATGACAAGCTTAAGTTCATATAAAGTTCATCTATGATGCAAAGTTTCATCTCGTTCAGGAGTGGGCACCATTTTCGTGCGGATGGCCACAGTGACAAATGTAAATCTATTGGGGGAGGGGGGCATGAATATTGTGTCCAATTTTTACATGTTGATAAACACTTCTTTTTATTAACATCGGTAAATTAGCCTTTTAGCATAAAATGACAAAATTCAAAGACTGTTTAAAAAAAAAGAGAAAATGAGAAAGAAAGTTGATGACAAAAATGTTACAACGATCATTAAGGTATATGAAGTTCTGTAAAATTCAACAAAATAACGTAAAAACGAAGAAATGTTTTTTAAAATTTCTAAATGCCTTCGAGGGCCGCATACTATCAGTTGCCGGGCCGTAGTTTGCCCAACCCTGATCTAGTTGATTAATTTTAAAAAATCTTGTAAAGGGCTGATAACCGCTGAATATGAGGTTGATGTGAACGAACAGACAGCGATGATAGATTAGTGGAGTCAAACTTCTATAGAGTTGTTGGTCGAGCTGCATAACTAAAGGGAGATTGGTGGTATCACACTTCTATAGAGATGTTGGTCGAGCTGCATAACTAAAGGGAGATTTGCCGTGCCACTCTTGTATAGAGATGTTAGAGGAGCTCTTTTCTAAAGAAAATTTGTTTGAATCTTCTAATCTTTGCCAAATCAAGAATTCTCTTAATCTGCAAAATTTTTATGGACAAGCAAAATTTTTCACTTACACGTTTAAAAAATGAACGTATGAAGTTACGAGCAAATTCTTTAGATGATGTTATGTCTGTCTAGAAATCTACGACATATTACCATTAGCCTTGATTATCATGCACGTATCTAGCAAGTAAAAAGAAATGACAACAGTTAATCACTCTTTGGGTCGGTCTACCCATTTTTAGTGCAGAATCTATTTTTTTTTAAATTAGACATCCATAAATGCTCACCAACTTTTATGACACGTCATAATTGGACACATTTTTACCGACTCTGCTAGATTTAACAGGCGGTAGGCAAGACCGAGCTACACTTCTAATATGATCAGCGGAGCTTTACTGCTGAAGTGGTTTTTATGGAGCTCATTTCTAAAGACAGGTTGTTGAGATACATTTGTAAAGACATTGGTCTAGCTGGGCTACAAAAAGAGATTGGTCTAGCTGGTCTACTAAAAAGAGATTGGTGTAAGTACACTAACATAAAATTGTTGTTGATGCTTGTTACGCATATGTATTTAAGAAAAAAATTAATCTATATTAATATTTGTTCGAAACTAAAAACTAAAAATAAAGTAACACCCCCCACCCCAAAAAAAAAAAAAAAAAAAAAAAAAAAAAAAAAAAAAAAAAAAAAAAAAAAAAAAAAAAAAACCAAAAACAAACACACCCCCCCCCCCCCAAAAAAAAAAAAAAAAAACAACAAAAACAAAACAACAACAACATTAACTCTACAAAAAGCGAGTGCCACTAACACTATTCAATGTAATTATACTATATAATTTATATTATACAAATATAGACATAGCTAAAATCTATATGAACTTAAAGTGAAAATGTACAATCCTCGAAAGATACATATTTTAAATTACACACACACGCACATAAAGAGTGCAATCTTGCTGGTATAGAAAACGTCATATATGTCTAGGGAATAAAGTAAACAATGTCTCCCGCCCAGGAAAGATGAACAACCATTTCCCAATCAAGGGAGGGTCGGCTAAAAGGAGTGGCACAGTGCATTCAATTGTTGATGTGACTATGAAAACAAAACAAAGGGGAGAAAAGTGGTGGTGGCCAAAACGCTAAAATTAGGCCTCTCCCACATTGCCATAACAGAGCTACACCAATAGAGAGATTGTTTGAGCTGCGCTACTAAAGAGAGGTTGTTAGAGCTGTGCTACTAGAGAGAGATTGTTAGAGCTCCGCTACTAGAGAGAGATTGTTAGAGCTGCAATACTGGAGAGATATTTTTAGAGCTGCGCTACTAAAAAGAGATTGTTTGGGCTGCGCTACTAGAGAGAGATTGTTGGAGCTGCAATTCTAAACAGAGATTGTTTGATTTGCGCTACTAGAGAGATATTGTTAGAGCTGCGATACTAGAGATAGATTGTTATAACTGTGCTATTAAAGAGAAATGTTTAGAGCTACGCTACTAGAGAGAGATGGAATGGAACTGTGCTTTATAGAGAGATTGTTAGAGCTGCACTACTAAAGAGAGATGGTTTGAGCTGCGATACTAGAGAGAGAGAGAGAGATTGTTGGAGCTGCGATACAAAGAGAGATTGTTGGAGCTGCAATACTAGAAAGAGATTGCTGGAGCTGTGCTATGAAAGATAGATTTTTAGAGCTGCGCTACTAGAGAGAGATTATTGGAGCTGCGCTACCAAAGAGAGGTTGTTAATGATGCGCTACTAGAGAGAGATTATTGGCGCTGCGCTACCAAAGAGAGTTTGTTAATGATGCGCTACTAGAGAGAGATTATTGGAGCTGCGCTACCAAAGAGAGGTTGTTAATGATGCGCTACTAGAGAGAGATTATTGGCGCTGCGCTACCAAAGAGAGTTTGTTAATGATGCGCTACTAGAGAGAGATTATTGGAGCTGCGCTACCAAAGAGAGGTTGTTAATGATGCGCTACTAGAGAGAGATTATTGGAGCTGCGCTACCAAAGAGAGGTTGTTAATGATGCGCTACTAGAGAGAGATTATTGGAGCTGCGCTACTAGAGAGAGAGATTGTATGAGCTGCGCTACTAGACAGCAATTGTTGGAGTTGCGCTATGAAAGAGAGATTTTTAGAGCTACACTACGAAAGAGAGATAAGTTGAAATATAAAGTACCACAGAGATATTAGTAGAGCTACACAGTTATAGAGAAATTGGTTGAGCAAAATAGTTATAGAGAGAATGGTAGTTACATATTTATAGAGAGATTGGTAGACCTAAGCAATTATAAAGCTATTGGTAGAGCTACTTAGTTATAGAGAGATTGGTAGACCTACGCAAATATAAAGATATTGGTAGAGCTACTTAGTTATAGAGAGATTGGTAGACCTACGCAATTATAAAGATATTGGTAGAACTACTTAGTTATAGAGAGATTGGTAGACCTACGCAATTATAAAGATATTGGTAGAGCTACTTAGTTATAGAGAGATTGGTAGACCTACGCAATTATAAAGATATTGGTAGAACTACTTAGTTATAGAGAGATTGGTAGACCTACAAAATAATAAAGAGATTGGGAGACCTACACAATTATAAGGAGATGGGTAGACCTCCACCACAATTATAAAGAGATTTGGTAGACCTACAAAATTATAAAGATATCGGTAGACCTTCACAATTATAAAGAT